ACACTAACTCCGGGCTCAGACGGCAAACACCCATCTAGAGCGTCAGCTAGTCGTCAGGCATTTTAGAAGAAGGCTTAGCTCCTCAGTGTACTGTCAAGTGCAGCAGGGGGTGTGCTGTACTTCAATGAAATATTGAAAACGCTTTTCAGGTTGGCTTTTTCCTGCTTTAACTGAGTCCCTTCACAGACAGACCTGTCCCAGCTCCCCTCAGCCCCTGCCCGCCAGGCAGCCTGTCACCCCCACACTCTGCTTTTTCCACCTCACCAGCACGGTACTGGTAAAAACCAAAGCTTGCGAAATTCTAAGTGATGTTCATTTTAATAAAAGACCTGGCAGGAGCGCCATTAACATGTTAGCTAGTATTTCTGCATGAAGAGGTGATGGATTTTTTTTTTTCTTATCATCATGCCTGTGAGAAAATACCGACGTGAACTTGTATAAATTTAGTGGTAAGAAAATAAAAATAAAGTGTTTTTAGAGCAAGAACAAAGAATAGTTTATTTGTTAGATAAGAAGGTCCTCTTCCCAAAGGACTCTGAGGCCCATCGAGGTCCACTGAATCCACGCCTTGAGCCCACGTCATGGAGAAATCGCTCCCTCCTGCTCAAAGTGAGGCGTTCTCAGTGGAGAGAGGACGTCAGGCCTCGATGGCAGTTATCATCTACTCCATTTTTCAACTGAAGAACACCGAAGTCTTTGAAAGTAAACACTGAAAAACCCTTGGACATGAGCCCAACTCAACCCCCTCTTTCTCCAGGCAAGGACCCTGCAACGTGAGGTGGTGGCTCCGAATCACAGTGACACTGATGACAAGGGTGACCTGAACAGATGCGCACTGAGCATGTGACGTGCATCCTCCTGTTTTGTTCTCACTGACCTGGAGCTCAAGGGGAGGGGATAGTCCTGACCAGGGGCCAAGCCTGGGTGTTCCGGGAGGAGCAGCGTCATGTCCACTCCTGACACCAGGGCTACCTCAGGGAGGCTGTCACTGACAGCTGGGAAAGGGACGGGCAGGGGCCACTCCCTGGTGGGAAGGGCAGGGTAAGCCCCAGGCAGCAGGAAGGCCCACAAGCCTGGCTGAGAGTGAGGCTGGAGCCGAGTCAGGAGGGCGGTCGAGGCCAGCCCGGCGGCCCCACTCTCACCGCCAAGGGCTGCACAGAGCAGCAACATGTCGAGGCCAAGCGCTGCTCGACCAAGGGACCAGGTAGGGACTTGTCATGCGATCCTTGTGTCTTTCTCATGAACTCTCCAGACTCAAAATTCCACACACAGGTGAAGCATAGGCCTACAAGAGAAGCCTGCTGATTGCATGAACTCCCACTAGGAGTAGATCGGTAGTTCCCAAGCAGGGAGACGACTGCATCTCCCGAGGGATATTTTTGTTGTCTGGAGACAGCTTTCCTTGTCACACAAGGGAGGGGCATTGTTGGAATCTAGGAGCAGAGTCCAGGGATGCTGCTAAAAATCTACAGTACACGAAACGGTTCCCTCCAGCAAAGTTATGAGGCCCTAAAGCCCTTGGTGCTGAGACTGAGAAACCCTGGAGTGATCTGAGCTGAAATCCTCAACAGAAGACACTGCAGGGAGAAAGAAGTCAGCCCACGCCAGCCCCTTCCTGCTCCAGATGACCTGTGTGACACACGTCTCGGCTCTCAGACGAACAGGAAATGGGACAAAGGGCCTTGCGGCAGCTGGGCCAGGCACACCTGAGCTCTGGGTCAGAAGTCTTCAACTTGGGTCTCAGGGACCAGTTTTGAGGAAGACGAGTTTTCCACAGACAGGGTTGGCGGAAGTGGGGGTGGTTTAGGCATGATTGAAGCACACTACATTTATTGTGTGCTTTGTCTCTACTATTACATTGCAATATGTAGTGAAAAAATCACACATCATAATGCAGAACCAGTGGAAGCCCTGAGCTTATTTTTCTCCCACCAGCTTGCCCCAATGTCTCTCATCATTGGCAGTGATGAGAGAGAAACACCTGAAGCGTCTTGGTCAGGTCCAGTCTACTCCACAATCTCATTTTGGTTTCTGTCCCTGAAGAAAACCCTGCTTCACAAAATAGGAAGCTGGAAACGGAAGCAGAATTTTCATCACTTTGTGCCGAGCTCAGGAGGTTTTGCCTTCACTTTAATCTAGAATAGATGGAGATTTGAAGCTGTCACAATGTGCTTTTGTGACCACCATCACGTGGCCTCTCAGGTAGTTGATCCTCCTCTGGTACGGAGTCAGCTGACGCGGACTGTTCACAGAGGGCCAAGCATCTGCTCCTGCCCAGGTCGGGGTCCCTTGAGGTTGGGAAGTCAAGCTCAAACTCTTGAAAGCTGGCACAAGTGATCATGGGCCAGCTGGGAGCAAAAAGCCCTGGCTTAATCTCTTCAGAGATCTCTGCTGATGCTTCAGACGTTCACTTGTCACTCCCTAGTTTATGCAGCCCCTTTATCTGCCAACTCGAACACAGCTGTTGCTCTCCCCTCAAGTGCCAGATTGAGTTCTTCAAGCAGGTTGAACACAGCACAGGAGTAAAAGCATTTTGCAGCCCAATCTGTGTCACTAAAATGAGCTGCCGGCGGTGACCATCTTCTGAAGGCCCTCTCTAGCTACTCTTGCAGTCCCAAGCTTGCCAGCGATCTGCTTTTAGAGAGCCTTATCAGGTGTGTGCAGTGAGCACGCGCCGCTGAGCCCACGCCCTCACAGTTATGTGACAAGATGTGTGTTGAGGGCAAGGACGGTGAGTCACAGCCCACAAGTGAGTTCCTTTCGGGAGAACACTCACAAATAAGATTCATTCATAACACTGACAAAGGGAGTCTTAGATACCTTTGATATAAATATACCGCGCAAACCATAAAAAACCAAACACACACCAAGACTGCGGCACGTCCCTGGCCGCGCTGTACCGCGCTGGACTACCACACTGCACGGTGACCACACAGCAGCGCGGCTGTGGCCGCATCCGGCAGACAGGAGAGCTACCTCTGTGCACTGTTTGGACCTACGAATGTTCCTAGTGTGCGCTCTGTTGGTATCAGTGAAAGCTCACAGCCCCAACGTTCACAAGTTGGGGACTTACGGTACTTTAACGTGGCTGGCAGCTTTTATCTCCTCACGCGAAGTGTGGGTAAGCGCAGGGGACATATTTTGGCTAGCTGGCACTTCCGCACGGCTGACATGGTGCTGACGTGGGAGACTCACGTCCAGCCATGACATCTCTGACTCCAGAAGTAAACCTAGAAAGCCGTCCACTCGCGGCAGCCACTCTCTCCACGTGCCAAGAGGAAAGGACCAGCGCAGCTCTTTGGACATGCAGTTATTCGAAGAGCTGGACGCTCTGCAGCTGGAGCGCTGGCTGACAGCCAGGGGCACACAGCATATTCCTGTGCACATCCTCCTGAAACGTACAGCACACAAGAACGAGCACCGTTTCCTGGTCAGTATCAGTAGAAGCAGCAGTCCTGGTTGTGCACCATGTGGCTAAGTAATCTTCTCTCACCGTCACGTTTTGGCATCCTCGCTGTCTCCTCAGCTCATCTACTTACGGTGCTAACAGAAAGAAAAGCACACTTCACTACTGGAGCTGCAGCTTCTCCTAAAAGTTCACGGAAAATGTCCTTAGTAGCAAACAGGATCAACTCTTTGCCAGCCGTGAAGAGCACCCTAGCTTGGGCAGCAGTTCGCAGTAAGAGTGGCGCTCAGTAGGGACACAGCTGATGAGGTGATGGCCCTCAGTAACGCTTCCATTCCACAGTCCTTGGGTCCATGTTTTTCTTTTGAAAAACTTTTAATGTCTTTTAATGAGTGCAGGCTGTTTGTTCTCTATGCACCAAAGTCATTTCGAAGATTTCATGACTTCGCTGGATAGCTGGTAACCACATACTGTACAGTGCGGGCTTGGAAAATGTGCATTGCTGCTGCAGTGAATCTAAGGAGGACGCTTGGTGTTTTCCTTTGAGTTTCTTTTGTTGTTGACAGTCTTTCAGTCTTCTTTTGTCTCACCGTTGGCTCTTTACCCCTCTCCGATGAGGCTTTCCAGTGAGCTTTGCAGTTTACTCCTTCTGGCCAGGGCTCACTTGCAGGTTTACTTAAGCTGGTCCTGAGCCAAACACAGCACAGGAAGGAGGCCTGGAAGAAAGTGGGGAGTGAAACGCTGGCAGGCCACACACAGGCTGAAGTGTCAGGTTCTGACTTAAAGCTGGCCATTGATGTAGCTGCCTTTTGAAGGGCAAAATCTCATTCGCAACTATAAATCCTGCCACCAGATGCAATTTAGTTTTCACTGATAGGATTTTGACCCAAGCCTGCTGCCTTTTATTTATTACGGCCTCTGTAGTCCAACCCTTTGCTGTGCTTACTGTGTGTCTGCAGCCCCTCCTCGGCCTAGCGTCACCTCCTCAGCTCCACGCCAGCTCCCCAGTCATTAGACTCTCCTACAGAGAACACAGCCTGGTCTCTCACATGCTCAGTTCACAGTGAGGTTTGTGCTCAGTTGGGAATCTAACAACTAAAGTAAATAAGAGGCTTAGCACTTCATCATCACATCTGTCTGTCCCCTTTGCTGTCATCCCTGGAGTCAGACTCTACTCAGCCCTGTGCAGAGATACATCGATCAACTAAGAAATGTTTTGTTAGACTATGCTGCAGGGGTCATTTGTCCTGCTGCCCATGGAGCTGGTGTGTGCTTCTGCTGGGCCTCCTGGGCACTCTTGCAGCAGCTCCTGTGCTGAGTCTTTCAGCCTTATGATACAGGCCAGATGCACTACGACAGCACCAGCCACAAGAATAACACAGCGGTTCCTGGGCAAAGCTGGCCTCCTCTTTGCCACCAAATACAAGGCCAGGTCACGTGTCTGCAAGGACATGAAAACTCAACATCTTGTAGGAGGTGGACCACAAATACTAAGGGCTCTGAGACTGCAGTAAGCAAAAATCGTTTGGAGCCCTGCTCAGCCAGTGAGTGCTGCCAGGCACTCGCCCACCCCCGCACATCAATAAAGCCTAACTCTCTTTGCTCTACAAGCAGTGGCTTGGTGACTCCTGACTCTTGCTGGCTCCCTCAACTGAAGCTCCAAATCAGCTGAGGGCCCCCCTCAACAGGCATGCATACTCTAAATCTTCACCCGAAAGTTTGTCAAATGTTTGCAGTATCTGGTCCAGCCTCATTTCTGCTGTCATGTAGCATCCAGAACGTTGTGAAATGTGATTCACCCCAGCACCTCAGCATGTCTGTGCCCCATCTTTTGCTTTAGTAGAGCTTCAATAATTTTTCCTCAAATTACAAAGATAATCCATAATCATTACAGAAATAAGAAAATATAGATTAATGCAAAGGGAAGAAATAAAATATCCTGTACTCCTACCCCTTAGAAAGAAATTTTATTCCAGAGGCATTCTGGTAGCGAGCTCCATTAATTTAAAAGTGTTTTGAAATTTTTAATTCGCACAGAATCACTGTGGATATTTATAGGTTGCAGTGTCGCATTTTAATATATAAATTGTCAAGCCAGGGTCATCCTCAATTCCCAAATTCCAGAAGTTTATCGTTTCTTGGGCCACGATGCTGAAAACAAAGAGGAAGAAAGGAGGAAGGTGTACCTCAGCTCCACAGAGACACCTTCCGTGTCGCCTCCCTCCTCCTCTTCCCGTCAGCGTGACAGAGCCTCCCGCCGTAAGACACAAGACAGGGCCACACACTTTGACCCCGGCTGTCTGACTTTGTACTGATGTTTTAACTTCTTTCGGCTTTTAAGTTTTTATTTCTGTTCTGTATAAAATATAAAGAACATGAAGCTTGCCGCCTTCTCCCTGTTAAGGCCTACAGCTCAGCCATGATAGGAGTGTTCACCTTGCTGCCCAGGCCTGGCCCAGAATGCTTTCAGCTTGTAAACCTCAAAGTAGACACACGTTGAACCACCTCCTCATTTCCCTCAATTCTGTTCCTTTTTTTCATAAATTTGACTACTCTGGACACTTCATAAAAGCAACGTCATACAGCATTGTGTGTGTGTGTGTGTGTGTGTGTGTGTGTGTGTGTGTGAGTGACTGGCGCAAGTCCACTAGGTCTAAAGACTTCAAGGTTGGTCTGTGTTGTAGACCAGGTCAGAATTTCCTTTTTAAGGTGGAATCATATTCCATCAAGGGCATAATCACACTTTAAAAAAAATCTACCCACATATTGATAGACACTGGGGATGCTTCTGTCCCTGGCCTCTGAGAATGCTGCCGCGGTAAACCAGCTGCACACGGCTGCACAGTAGCATTAGCATCTCCGCCACGCAGGAAAGGGGATGCGGGAGGGAGAAGCGGTCCACCTCGGAGGGGTGAGAGCGGGTAGGAGGCCAGAATGAGAGAGAAGGCGGCCTGCGACACCGCCTGAGCGGGACCCAACCTCAGCCACACCCTCTGAAGGCCTCACTGCTTCCTGGCCCTGCCTGGTTCCCCTTTCCTCACCTTCAGGTGGTCATCCGGGTCTCTGGAGAGCCCGTCTTCTCTCCCCCCGCCTAGAAAATCTCTATCACATTTGCAGACCCTCCTAAGTAAGTGTCCTGTCTACAAGAACACCAGCGTATTTTGTTCATGAACTATGGAGTAAAGCAATTCCTACCTGAATAACATAATATAAAATTGTCTAAGTGTGCAGCAATTTCTCTACTATAGATAGAGAAGCTTTGGAAGACAATTCTTTCAGAACTACGGGGCCATCGAAATCTGATCCTATGGATCCTAAAAAGACCTATCTTCATTCAAGTGTCCCCCTGCTCTTGTGGAATTCAACGTGCTCCTAGAAGACGCGGGTCAGTAGTCCTCCCAGCTCTAAGCTACCACGGGTCTCAGAGCACCTCCGCAGTATGGGGTTCCCTGGTGAAGAGACTGCGAGCTTAGAAATGTTTTCTCCATATTGTCCTATTGGGACCTCGCACTCCTCAGAGGAGGGAGGGCAGGGGTCAGTGCTCGGGTTTGCGAGATCCAGAAACAAAGGCTGAGCACACTCAATGGAGAAGCACAAAACAGGGTGTTGTCTTGTCACTTCGACCCCCCCCCCATCTCACCAGGAACGGAGGGGCAAAGAAAGGAGCGATGCCAAGGCCCAGATCTGGAGCTTCCAAACCAGAGATAGCAGGGACTGCAACAGGGATCTTTTTAGTTATTTTCAGCTTTACTTTGTCACAAAACAAAGCAACAGACCTAGAGGAAATCCTAGTGCGTGCATACGTGTATGGGAGAAGCACAAGAAGCACACGCGCTCGTGAGAAGAAAAAGCTGAAGGAGCAATGCTTAGCTGAGCATAGACTGCACGGGCAGGAGATCTTGGAGCAAAGCCAATTAGAAGGCGACCCAGCTGTACAGGCTCTCCTACAGACTTCTAATCCAGACTTCAGGAACATGCTTAGATTAGTAGCAAAGGGGAGGTATTTCCTGTTGTTTTGAATAAAGTGTTGGCCCGTTGGAAGAAATCATCACCTGAATGACGCTTCCTGCCATTAAGAAGAGCTTATGCCGGGAGAAAAGCACCTGTAGGAGGCGCTGGAGGCGGCCTTCCCGCTCCCTCTGGAATCACAGGCTGGGAGAAGGCTCAGCCACACCCTGACGACACATCGGAGAACAATGGGGTATCATGATGCCAAACTGACAGGAAAAACTAGCGTCCAGTGGCTTCCGAGGTGTGCGCATCTCACGGCTCTTATGCTGGAGTAGTAAGTTCTTGCTTTCGTGCAGCTCGGCAGTAGCACTTTCCTGATTTAGCTGCTCCTCTACACCGGCCAGACCAGCATCTTTTAAAATGGTGCCATCTTGGCAATCGAAAGAGGCCTCTGTCCTTTTTTTTATTTAAAGAAAAATTTTATTGCTCCCCCATAAAACATGAAACATTTTACTGTAAAACTTTGGATATATAAACAAAAGATAATAAAAAGATATGCCCAGAACGCCTTTGTCTTTAGATGAAGCCACTGCTTGAATTTTAAGAGAAATGAGGTCCCACGAGCTTTCCTCAGTGTGACTGAGAGATTCGCTATTACATAAATTGTTTTCTTTTTGATACTGAGAGTCGCACGCAGGACCTGGTGCTTGCCGGGAGGAGCTTGTGCAGCTGAGCTATATCCCCAGCCTGAGATTTGCTGTTATAGAGGAGAGAGAAAAATGCGTGGGAAGATCACAGGACAAAGATGGAGAGGCTGGAGTTTCCAGAGAGGACACGAGGAGAGAAGGAAGCTATCTGGGGTCACCCTTGGAAAAGAAGGACTGTCTTGGTGACATTTACTTGCGCTTGTCCATTCCTGTGCAAATTTTCCACCTTCTTATCCACAAAACTGTCCTGGGAGAGAGCAGTTAGAGTAGTTGTTATTTCTCAGGAGCTTCTCCTTTGAGTTAGATAAGAAAAATCCCAAGACGTTTTTTTCTGCTGCTGTGAAATCTCCAGTACTCTCAGCTTCAAATGATCCTCCTGCTAACGAATGGTTCAGAGGGGCAGAACACGGCCTCCGCCACTGACTTACGCGGACCTTCAGGGGATTGGTGTTTCCTCCACTGTAGGCCCTGCTGTCAGTGGTCCCTGATCAGATGCAGTCTACCGTCCCAGAGGATGCACACAGTCCCACCTATGCAAGCGGACCCTGCAGAGAACCTCAAAGCTGGCCATGGAGGTGCTGGGTGGCTGGGAGCAGAAGCTGCCTCCAGGTGCCACGAGTCTGTTCTGTTGCTCCTGGGGACAGCGGGTGACACATGGAGGCATTCTGGGTTGTGGCAACTGGACATGTGGAGATGGTACTGCGTAAGGCGGGTAGAGGCTAGAAATGTCCATTGCCGAGCACGTCACAATGCGCAGGACGGCCCCTCCCTGCACCCCAGCACCCCTCCCTGCACCCCGGCACAGTCTCCCACCTGCGCTCCTTGGGCTGGGCTGCTGCACCATGCACACTAGACCAGACCCTAAAGCAGCACTTGAGCCTCCTCCCTTGGCCTGCAGGTGCTTACTGGCTCATAAACATGTCAAGTCATGGTAAGAGGAAATGTCTTAGCTACGTAGGACTACATAGGAATACGGACTGCAGGCTACTTAGCTATGGGCTCACAAGTGCTTCTAACCTTGGGAAAGTAACTTAGTTCTCTAAATCCTTACAGTTTGAAGGGGACTTAAAACTGTTTCCTTACAGTAAAAGCGGAGAGAAAACACTGTACAATCTGTACACATAACCAAACATTCTAGGAAGGACACCCCACTGCAAAAATCTGTGTTTCATAGAACACTTTAAAATGAAAAAGTACAAAGCCAGAAAGTATATTAAGTTAAAAAAAAGACAAGAAAATAATAAGAATATCTTTAGGGCTACAGGGAAGATGGTGAAAAGTCTCTGAAAGGGTGGCTTCATCCCTGGCAACGGCGTCCTCTGAACACTAGCTGTGGGCTCAGAGACGTTCTTTGTTCTTGAAAGACGACATTTCGTGAGGGCCGAAAGCTCGGGCAGTACCAAACACTGTGCACTGTGGTTTTTACCTAGGCATACGTGCCTGGCATAAAGTCTAACTTATAAATTAGGTATGGTAAGATATTAACAACAATAGTAAAAATAAAACAATTACAACAATGTAGTATAACAAAAGTCATTCTAGATTTATGAATGTTCATACTGAAATTTTCCACTTGATCTCTCAGACCATGGCAGACTACACATAAAGGTAACTGCAGAATGGGGAACTGGGATACGGGGGACAAGGTCCCATCAATAAAAGGAAACGAAGGTGCCTGCCTACACTCATCCCTCCCAGCAGTGCCGCGGACCAAGCGCGCAGGCCCTGGGGTAGGATCGCGCACACAAGACCCTGCTGTCCACTGAAGAGGAGAAAGGAGTCCCCCCCACCCACAGGCGTGGGAGGTACCCCCGGAGGCCAGGCAGAGCCTCCGCGGGAGCGGGGAGAAGGCCGGTGGAGACAGCCTTTGGGAAATGTGCAGAGCACTTAGGGAAGTCTGAGTCACCACCGCAATTCATCCAAAAGAGACTTGGTTTTACATCAGCAGCTTTTTCATATTCTGTTCCTCCAGGACCACTCCCTTTTCATTACTATAAGGTCAAGGCAGGGTTTTCAAGCATTAAATGAAAAATGCAGAAGGCAAGAGGAAGAAGGACAAATTTTAAAAGGTTAATAAATAATTAATTTCTGTGCAAGCAAAAACGAGAAAACACGGGAAGCAATGATGAATTATTTCTAAGTATTCATGCATGAGCGAAGCAATTAAAATCTTTTAAAAATGTGTCTGTTTCAGCGATCCCCAGGAAGGGCGGCTGAGAAACTGCGCTCAGGGTACAAGCGCAACTGGAGTAAATGTGCAGGACAGCTGTTTCCTGTAACGTTCCTCTTAGAAAGACAACAGAAATAAATCGCTAGAATGTTATGTCCGTAAACAAAACGTGCCTCCCTCGTTCCAAATGCGAAGCTCTGTCCCCGTGGCGGGGACACTGGCGCGAGCGAGGTCAGCCCTAAGGAGCTGCTGCGCGCCGAGGACGGACAACAGCTGCAGCGCTAAGCTGAGCCAAGTAAGCCACCTCCGGAAGCTTCATATACAGAAGGAGTTTGGAGTGTCCCGGGGGAAGGGCAGTGGAGGACATGAGCCTGGTGACCTTCGGGGACTCGCCAGGCTGCGAGCACGTCAACGCAGAGGTGGAAAGAACCGTCCAGGCTGGCCTGACGGGGAGCTGCGGAGCAGCAGAACAGAGGGGTTTCCGTAGGAGGGGCCCCGAGGACAAGGAGCGCTCGCCCGGAGGAGGCACCAGGTCCAGGACGGTGCGAGCCCGACAGGGCGCCGCCGCCCGGAGCTGGAGGCGGCCGGAAGGGCGCTGCAGGGCGCGCCAGCGTGCGTGCGGAGGAGGCACGCCTGAGGTCGCGGTACCCGTCACTGTGTCCCGCGCGGACAAACACCTAACATCTGCGCTTTAAGGGAGGGCCCACCTGTTTCGTCCGGTGGTTTCAGAGGCTTTGGTCCACTTCCGAAATATCATGACTGGGCGGGCGCGGCTGCGCACGCCTGTAACCCCAGCACTCGGGAGGCTGAGGCAGGAGGAGCCTTGTGAGTTCCAGGCCAGCCTGGGCTACAAAGGGAGCTCGAGCTTAGCATGAAATGTATAGTGAGACAAAACACAAGAACACACACGAAAAGAAAAAGATATAGTGGCTGAGAGGCCTGTCAGAGAAGAGCTGTTAGAGCAACTGCATTTGGGACGCAGACAACACAAGAAAAAGCTGGCGAGCCGGGCAAGGGCGAGGCAGCCACAGGCCGGCTGGCCTGTCCCCACGGCCCGCGGTTCTAGCAGCTTATGCATCGATTACTCATCGCCGGAGAGGTTTAGTGTCCTACAACGCAGTCACCTCTCCTGGAGCCTCGTGCCCCTGCACCACGCTGACAGACCTCTCAGCTTCAGCAGCAGCGAAACCCAGAAAGTAAGCAGCGGCGAGGAGTGCAGCCGCGGCGCCCCCTGCCGGCCGCTCTGCGAGGGTCGCCCCTGGGAGCCTGCACTGGCGGGCGCCGCCACCGACACACCAGAGCCAAGAGCCCAGCTTGCCTCAGCGCAGCTCATACAGGGTCAAGTCACCAGACCTGCCATTTCATTTTAAAAACTTGCTTTTTAGAATGATGAATTTATTGTCTCCAGTGGAACCGCCTCAGTTGCTTTGGAAGATTGCTGTAGTTTTCCTTTGACAAGGTCTCCAAAGCAGCACACTTAAAGCATCTTTTAAGTATTCTGAAAGTATATTAAATGTTCAAAAATCACTCTATGACCAAAATGTCAATGTGCGCATCCCACAGGAATTTTCAGTTTATATTGATGTCTTTCAAGATTTGATTTTGCCAACATTTAAACATACTTATCATTATTCTACAAAAATTTCAAAATGGGCATTATATTTCTGCAATTTATTTTATCCATCTAACTTTTCTAATAATAATTCAGATTTGCTGTGTGATAGTGTTGTAGGCAGCTGAGTTAGAAATATGAAATGCAGTCAAACAAGGCCCTCGAAGGAGCCTGCAAAGAGCCTGCAAAGAGGGGGAGACGCCCTGGACTGTGGGGGGCAGGTCCCCGCTGAGGGACAGACCTCACGACAGAAGATCAGACAAATGTGCCGTAGCTCCCTAGGGACAGCATCCGGCACTGGTGCTCTGAGTGGGTGCCCATCACCGTGAGGAAGCCAGAAGAGTCACCAACCCAGCTCCTCCAGGAAGAGCCCCCCTCCTTCTGTACTCACCTCCACTTGCTACGGGACTCACTTCCCCATTTGGTCCTGGATTTAACCAATTTTACATGAGCGAGTTGTGCTTGTAACCTTATTGGTTGACCATAGTCGTGTCCTACCTCATGTGCAAGTTCCCATGGCTTCTGCCTTAGACCTGCCTCACCTCACAGTTTTGCTCTGTAGAAATCCCCAGAAAAGGCAGATTCCCAGGACAACCCACCCAGGACCCTTCTGTCCTTGTCTTGGACAGAAACTTTCTTTCCTCTAATAAATATATTCCACTTTTAAACTCCACTGTCCTAAAATTAATTCGTCAGTTTTTGAGAATATGAACTCAGTCCAGGTCTCTTTCGGGTTGGGAGCTTCAGTCCC